CCGTCGTATCCCTTTGCATCCCGTCGTATCCCTTTGCATCCCGTCGTATCCCTTTGCATCCCGTCGTATCCCTTTGCATCGCGTTCCATATCATCTAAGGTATCTTCCAGCTTTAGGTTTAAAGAGGCTCTGAAAACCATAATGTCTTGGTCAAGTATTTGTAATTTCCACACCATATTTAATCAGGCCTCAGCAAGGCTTTACATGTCCCTAGCGTTTAGCATGTATTTGGTGTCTACTGCTCTGCGCTGCAGCAACAATAACAAAGACGGAAAATCTGTGCTACCATTTCTGTGAGGATAATCGTCAGCATCGCATTCCAGTTTATCAGGACACAATACTCAGTTTCCACACATCAGAAAACATCCAGCATCAAAGAGTATTTTTAATGTGATATGAAACCTAGAAAGGAATTTAAAATTATTTCCAAAGTAATTAAAATACTTCAGATTATAATTGTTAGTTACACATCTGACTTTGTGGTATTGCATGTTAATTAAAATATGCGCTATAACCACAGTAACCATGGTTTAATTGCAGTCAGTGGTAAAACTAGGGCAAAAATGGGATCCCTCGAAACCTTTGAGAAAACCACAGTGCCATTTTATGTGGAATACTGGGCAGTCCTAGAAAAGTATAGCCGTCGGAATTTCATTAGCTTGGCACAGACTTCTTTGCATGTTTTTTACATTATTTTTGTTGCTAATATTTACATAACCGATTGTATCTCTGGCCAGCCGCATTACACAGAGCGAATCAGGTTGGAAAGCAGGATGTGTTTGATCTGCATGAAGCCATCGCAGTGACTGACTGCAGCCCCTTTTTTTTTACGTCCAGCTGAAGAACGGACATCTGCTGTACATCTCGGACGCCGGCGTCGGGGGCAAGGTGGAGAGGACGTTAACGGAAAAGGCGGTCTCAGACGGCCAGTGGCACACTCTTCTGCTTCTGAAGCACCAGTTGGCCACTTCACTCAGAGTTGACAACAGCCCGCCCAAGGAGATCCTGCATCTCACCCAGGACTTTGGGGGGGTTAATGTCCTAACCCTCTCCCTCGGGGGGGTCCCCTCAGAGTCCATTCAGAAGGACGGCTCAGGTGAGTCAGTTATCTTGAACCTGACGTGGACTTTAAAGCGCTCTTCTGCAGCACCATTGAGGAACAATGCAGAGCTATATTTATACCACAATGACAAACAGGAATCCATGAAACATCTTCCAGCTGGAATTGACGCTCATCTTGCGTACGATGTTGTATCAATTAAATTTCAAAACGACATTCCCAGTATTTCCCTAATGACTCTGTTCCTGGTATTGTTAAGGAAACAATCTGGCCCTGTCACATATTTTGAAAAGAGATTAGCTCCGTTTGGTCCGGATGCTTCATCCCGGGCCGATATCCAGGGCGACCTCCCTGTGTCTGAACGGCTCTTCCTCTCTTCCAGGCTTTGATGGCTGCATAGCGTACGTGAAATATAATGGGCAGATCCTGCCCTACAGCGGAGACCATGATGTAGTCACCATCTCCAGAACGCACCCGTCAGTGCAGGCGGGCTGCCGTGGGCCCGACGTGTGCGCCAGCAACCCCTGCCAGGCCAGCCTGCTCTGCGTTAACCACTGGTACAGCCACCGCTGCACCCCCCCAGGTGACTGTGCCTTGAGCCCCTGTCAGAATGGGGGCAGCTGTGAGCCTCAGGACCCTTATGGATTCACCTGCACCTGTACAGAATTCTTCACGGGACGGACCTGCCAAATTCCACTGGCTTGCCTGGGCATTGAATGCCCCCAGGGCACCCACTGTGAAATGGCCCCGGGCGGGGGGTTCGTCTGCAGCCCGTCTCCCGCAGAGGGAGGACTCCTGCCCGCTTGGGCCATCCCAGCCATTACGGGGGGCTGTGCATCCGCCCTGGCGCTCCTGGTACTGGGCCTCATTCTATGCAACTGTTTGCGGAGCCGCCGGACCAGTGAACCCAAGGGAACAAAGGCACCCGAGGAAGAAGAGGAAAAGAAGAAGAAGGGCAGTGAGAATGTGGGATACAATGATCCAGACAGCACACAGTCATATGGGGACGACATGGCGGTGCGTAAGCAGCCCGAGGGCAACCCCAAGCCCGACATCATCGAGAGGGATAACCCCTATCTGATCTACGATGAGGCCAACCTCTCGCATGGAAGTGGACCGGTACCAGGGGCCAGGCCTGAGGCGGAAATGGAGCACTACGACATCGACAATGCCAGCAGCATCGCCGCCTCAGATGCCGACATCATCCAGCACTACAAGCAGTTTCGTAGCCATGCTCCTAAGTTCTCGATCCAAAGGCATAGCCCTCTGGGTCTGGCCCGGCAGTCGCCCATGCCATTGGGAGCGGGGAGCTATGGGTACCAGACCTCGTACGGGCAGACCCTGAGGTCCACGCCCCTCAGCCATGCCACCAGTCCTACCACTGCCCCCCTCTCTCGACATAGCCCGGCTGCCTTTACTAAACCATCAACGCTGTACCGGCACAGCCCTGCCCGGGAGTTCACCTTGGCCCGCAGAGAGAGCAGCCCCCTGGACCCCCACAGTGAGGCCTTCCAGTATGCAGCACGACTGGGCCGGCGAAGCAAGAGTCCCCAGACCATGGCGGCCCAGGGCTCAAGACCCAGCAGCCGCATGAGGCAGCCCATCGAGCAGCTCCCCTTAGAGACAGGGCCCCCCGTGGGGCTCACCATCGACGAAGTGGAGAGGCTTAACACGCCCCGGCCTCGCAACCCCAGCATCTGCAGCGCTGACCACGGGCGCTCCTCCTCCGAGGACGACTGCCGGAAGCCGCTGGCCCGTGGGCGGAACCCCGCCGACGGCATCCCTGCCCATGAGTCTTCCTCTGAGAGTGAGTCACATGACTCCTTCACCTGCTCCGAGATGGAATACGAGCGTGAGAAGCCCAGCTATGGGTCCCGGGTGCCCAAGCTCTCCCAGGTCAACGAGTCTGACGGTGACGACGAAGACTACGGCGGCCGGCTCAGACAGCGGCGCTACTCGAACCGCCGACCTGAAGGTGTGGGAGGTGGTCCCCAGGTACCAGTAACCGAGCACCACACCCTACCCTACAAAACGGGCCAACAAGCTGGGGCTTTCAACTGGGACAGTCTGCTGAATTGGGGACCAGGTTTCAGCCATTATGCAGATGTATTCAAAGACCTGGCTCTGCTTCCTGAAAACACAGCTGGGAAAGACATTGAGATGCAGACCACTGATGGGGCCACGTTCATCCAGAGCAATGCAGAGGTGGAGCGATATTTGTAAAATTTTATTTATATTAGCCTCTCGTTTCACGGGCCGTTGCTGAAACGAGGAGGACTGACGCGGTGCAACTCGTGAAAGAGGACTTGTTTACATTCCCTCCTGATCTCGGAAACATGGTTACGTTCTTTCCGTTTGCCAAACCCGCACCTGAATCCGCGTCTCCTAAAGAATCTCGCCAGGCGGTTTTGATAGGTGACCAATGGCATCTGTTTAAAAAATCTGTCTGTCCCGTAATGTCCGATCCCTGTTAAAAACGCCTTGGCATGTTATGTATACATGTCACGTGCTTTTTAAAATGTCTGTTTAAACTTTTTAGCTTCTTTTTTTAATGAAACTGATACGATACATTCAATAGTGAAAACAAGCACATGGGTTTCATCTGTCACACCTGAAATGCTGTACACATCCTGGGGCGTGGAAGGAGAATGTTCCTTAGCTCACCGTTAAATCCGTCACGCGGACGCTAACGCCACTTATTACACATCCCGGGGCGTGGAAGGAGAATGTTCCTAAGCTCACCGTTAAATCCGTCACGCGGACGCTAAGGCCACTTACAATCCTTATCCAAAAGGGCTAGAGGGCCTGGGATGGAGGATGACCTCTCGTCTCCTGCATCTTTGACGATTCGTTCTGAAGGTGTAATAATGCTGGTGGAAGGAACCCGGGGGGGACGTGGTGAGAACCACCCCCCCATGCCACGAGGTCACCCCGTGTCAGAAACATGAGGGGGGTGGGCCGCGAAACGACCCCAGACCACCCAGCAAGCTCTCCTGCACGCTCCCTCAAGAGAGCAACTATCGTCAACCTTGTGTTTTCACAGAAGTGATCACTTTCACTCTTGTGTTCAGCGACAGCTAACTGTCCCGTCTCTGTATCGATGCTTGCAAGTGATGAAAAATTGTTTTCTTACTTTCAGGGAAAGTAAGACAATGTATGTGTTTTTACAAAGACGAGTTACTTATGTAACAGCCATTATTCCACTTTACAAAGCCTAATGTGTGCTTTGTGTGTGTAAAAGCCAATAACAATAAAAAACAGTTAAAAATGACAGCTTTAATATATGTGTGGTATTGGGGGGGATAGGGGAAGCAGGGAAGTCAGATTTAATCAGGTATGTTATTGAGGTAACATTTATGCGCTTATTTTCTTTCCAAACAAAAAAACACCCCTTGCACGGACATTACCATTTTCTGGGAGGTACGACATTCTCAGGGGCCTCGTTCTGATACAGGTTTTTAGCCCAGAGGGTCTCTCGCTGGTCCTGCGTTATAAAGACACACGATCAGAACCGGTCCATTCTGGGCCGACAGGGCTTCCTTGCATGCCAGTGATGGAGCAGGATTTTGCCAAGCGGATCAAAAAATTGTTAAAAGAATCGCCAAAATAAATCTCTGTGAATGAAATTCCTGTCTACACACCCTAAGCTATTTATGCTTAGTGAAATGAAACAAGCAATATTGGAATGCTTCTTTTCATTTACCCCATTGTGCTCTCCTTTGAGACACACTGACATACATGTAAGGGATAATGTACAGGCAGCCGGTAGTTATCGCAGAAATAAGCCCCGACAGTGTGATCAGGACCCGACGCAAAGCGGAGGGTCTTGTATCACACTGAAGGGGCTTATTTCGCGATAACTACCGGCTGCCTGTACATTATCCCGCTTATTACACGGCTACTTGCCACATAAGGAAAACGACATGGACATGAATATGAATTTGAAACATTTTATTGGCATATTTGTTTTAAAATAACATTTTTATCTTTCCGCGAAACGATATAGTACCACGTGACTATGCGTTATTACTTTGGAGCGGTTATTATTTGAAAATAATGAACCTGCAAATGTCTCAACTGACCAATCAGAATCAAGCATTCCAGAGAGCCGTGTAATAAAGTGAGAGAGAAGCTTGACATCTGACCACATCTTCAATCAGCAATGAAGCAATCAGCATCCAAACTAGCAACTAGTAAGTAATGGAAGTTTAGGAGCATGAGACATGAAAACAGAGAAATGAAAAACAAATGTGGATCTACAGGTACAAACACCAATCATTTCCCTCAGCGGGCGCTGGCCCTCCCTGACGGGCGCTGGCCCTCCCTGACGGGCGCTGGCCCTCCCTGACGGGCGCTGGCCCTCC